AAAAAAAAAAAGAATATCAAGAAATAGTGTTTATGCTAGTGAATACTTGAAAATTATTGGAAGTATTAAAATCACTTGCAAATTGCATATAATCACAGTAATCCTGTTTGTTTATAGACACTCCTGAGACATAGCAAGTGGTAGAACTGCATGTTCCTAAGTTGATAATCCAGGCACTTAAGTGGCTTTCCACTTTTCCATACCTATAATTGTTTTTGATTCATACATGGAAAGAGATGAGTCAAACTCCACTCAACTGTTCAATATTCTTTTTCAGGGTAAAAAACAAATGCTTTAATGCTGATATATCTGTATAAAATGAACTTTCCCTATGACACTTAACTGTTACTTATGGGCTAATAAAGAAGCATATGGGCTATTAGTTCACTTTGAATTTCTAAACACTATGGTATGTATGTTTCAAAATAGTTGGGATTTGGCGGAGGAGGCGAGGAAATCAAAGTTCTTTCACATTTAAAATGATCCGTGTGAGAGACAGGCTCACTGGCTTCAAAACAGTACCCAAGGATCCACTGCACACAAAACACATGATAAAAACTTTTGGTAACTAGGCATTGTGGCGGGTGCCTGTAGTCCCAGCTACTTGGGAAGTTGAAGCAAGAGAATCATTTGAGCCTAAGAGTATGAAGTTGCTGTGAGCTATGATGCCATAGCACTCTACTCAGGAGGACAAAAGTGAAACTCTATCTCAAAAACAAAACAAAAAACTTTTGGTAGCAATTAAAATAAAAAAACCTGGACATATTTAAAAAAACAATGTTCAATACTCACGAAAAAGAGCCACAGGAATTCAATTAAAGATATCAGAAAAGAAACTTAAAATGACCACAGATAATAAGTCAATAAAAGTAAGTTAATAAGGAAATAAAGACTAAAAATATTGGCAAAGAAATGAAAACTACAAGAATAAAAGTTCAATCTTGAAACTGAAAAACATAACGGAAATTAAGAACTCAATGGATAGGTTCAAGAACTGACTATAGGCTCGGCGCCTGTGGCTCAAGCAGCTAAGGCACCAGCCACATACACCTAAGGTGGCAGGTTCAATCCAGCCAGGACCCGCCAAACAACAATAATGGCTGCAACCAAAAAATAGCCGGGCGTTGTGGTGGGCGCCTGTGGTCCCAGCTACTTGGGAGGTGGAGGCAGGAGACTCGCTTGAGCCCAGGAGTTGGAGGTTGCTGTGCACTCTACCCAGGGGGACAGCTTGAGGCTCTGTCTCAAAAAAAAAAAAAGAACTGACTATATACAACTCAAGAGAGAATTAATAAACTAGAAAAGAGGGCAAAAAAACCCCACATTTGAAGCATAAAGAGAAATAGATGAACATAAATAGTGTATAAGACAACAGAAAAAGGAAATTTCTAATATGCATATAATTCCTGAAGAAGTAAAGAGACAGAATGGGCAGATAATTTTCTAAAACAATTGAAAGATGTGATACTACAGATTTAAGAAGTGCTATAAACTCTAAGAAAGAAAATGAAAATGTGTAGGAACATCATAATAAAACACTTGAAAAACAAAGAGAAAATTCCTAAGTCTGGATAGACCAAAAAAAAGAGAAAGCGAGAGAAAGAGAAATTTAAAAATAACAACAATTGATATAGCAGCAGACTTTGTAACAGAAATAATGGGAGCCAGAAGACAACGAAATATTTTCAAAGAAAATATCTGCCAATTTAGAATTTCTCTTCTCTTTTCTTCTCTTCTTGAGACAGAGCCTTACTTTGTTGCCCTCCGTAGAGTACCATCGCATCACAGCTCACAGCAACCTCAAACTTTTGGGCTGAAGCTATTCTCTTGCTTCAGCCTCCCTGGTAGCTGGGACTACAGGCACCTGCCACAATGACCAGCTATTTTCTACAGACATGGTCTAGCTCTTGCTCAGGCTGATCTTGAACTCCTGAGGTCAGACAATCCATCTGCCTCAGTCTCCCAGAGTTCCGAGACAACAGATGTGAGCCACTACAACACATGGCCCAACACAGAATTTCCATACAGTGAAATTATTCTGCAAGAATGAAGATGAATTCCCAGTCATCTCGTGGATAGAATAAAGTTAAAAGTAAAAGAGAGAAGAAAAAAGAATAAAGGTAAAGATATTTCTGACGAATGAAAACCTAAGAAAACTCATCTGCAGCCCTGCACTAAAGAATTATACATGAAAAAAGCAAATGTGGTCAGGCCAAAATAAATATCTAATGAATAAATCGCAAAAAAAAAAAAAATGCTTATGTAGTAATAATATGTAAATTTAAAATTAAGAAAAAACATTCTTTGAAGAGATTTTTGTTTAGGTGGTAATGGAGTAACTAATATTAGTTACCTTAGAATAAAATAACATGCTTGAAAAAAATTTTTTTAGAGATTGGAAAACAGGTAGCACAAGACAACAATCATAGAAACAAAGGAAAGAAATGAGGAAAATTTACTTGGACATTATTTCTAGACTAATAGTAGAGAGAATCCTGAGAGAGCATAGTGAGTAAATTCAAATTTCTATGAGAAATATATGAGAAAAAGAAAACTAGAATAAAGTCACATGATTTTGGAAATTCAGAAAATTCTTTCCTCAATAACCTGTGTATCAAGAGAATGAAAAGATAGTTAAACTTGAGTGTAATAAAAACAAAACTGGTAGTATAAAGTTAAAGTTGTATCTAAAAGGGATTTTGTGGCCTTAAATGTATCTATCAGAATGTATTCTATGATGGGAGGCGGGGAGCAGAGATATAGCATGATTTAAGCGCCAGTTCAAGAAGTCAGAAAAGGGTAGCAAATTAAACTCAAAAAATGCAGCATATAGAAAGATACATGAAGAGCAGAAATTAATGAAAACATACAATAGCAGGAATCACTTACTCTTCAATGTATTTGTATCTTTGATTTTATGTGATTGGTGATAATAATGACAATGCCCACTTCCTACTGTGAATGCACTTATAAACATTGTGTGCAACTCATCTATTTTTTTGAGTTA